TTTCAGGCCTCCCACCTAACCCAGCTCTCACCTACTTCCGGCCACTCTCACAGTCACTCATCCTCAAGCCACTCCCTTCCTCACAAATGAATAAAGTCTGGGTTCCGATCTGGGTATAGGCCTTTGTTCTGGATGGCCATTATCATGGCTGGACTTAGCACCCTTTGGCTCCCCATAACTACAAATATATATTAGGGTCTTTATTCTCGCCATGGATTGCATTGGATGTGATAGATTGGAAATAATTCAGTAGAATTCCAGTAACTTTTCATGAGATTACAAATATAAACTTCGTGGGCTGTGAGGACTAGGAAGGGCTCTGTATAGTCAGGATCACAAATGAGAAGACCAGCCTCAACAATCACCAGTAGCATTTGAACTCACTTGTAAGTGGTTACTTCTTCCAAAAGCTCATCACGTAGAGCAACTGATTAGATGAGAGCACCTTTGTCTCTAAGACAGGGCTAATATGGAGGGAGGTTAGTGGACCAGAGAACATTTACAAAGTGTTTCTCCTCTGTATCCATGTGTTTAGAAATTGCACCACAATTCTTTAGAGAACACCAGCACTCCTTCTTTGCTCTCTAGTGTCAGTGGTTAGGTGAGCTCTCACCACCCTAGCTCCAGGACTAGGCATGGGGTTTAGGCTTGGCCAGGAAGAGCATTCAGGGCCCTGGAAAGAGCTGACTAGTTTAGGAATATGTGTCCTGGGAAGGTCAACCCCAGAAGATTTCCCTGGAACACGGGGGTATGTAAACTCCTCTGTATGTTGGGATTTTTAGCTCAGGGAAAGATGCTGAAGGTCACCACATGGAGGGGGTTGACCTAGAAGAGAAACTGAGGCAAAGAGACTGAAATGAGGAACAGCCAGGTCCTGATTGTGTTCATGGAGCTATGGCACAGCTGTGATGGCTCCAGAACATCTAAGAGTTTGTACCACTTCATCCCCTGCTACTGCCTATATTCTTTCTTGCTTGAGTTGGATTCATCCCATCAGAAGAGTCCTGGATATCTCTAGTGATTCAAATCCAGAAACCAGGAAGCAACATGGAGGTGCCAGGACAGAAGCAGGGAAAGAGAAAATGTATTTAGCTAATGTTGACAGAGTCTGCAGTGAGCACCAGGCACTGCACCATGCACTGGGAACACCCAGATAAACAAGTCAGTCCCTTCTCTGGAGGCAATCACAGTCCAGCGGGAGACACAGACACAGTGAGAAGATGGGTGAACTTTGTGGGCTTCAGCATTTGGCGAGGAAGGGGCTGGTTAGAAATCTGATTCCACTTCTGCAATTGTAGCAACATCATGAAATAATTTTTGAGCTTTATTCTCTTCACCAGTACCTGTAACACAGCTGTCACCAATTTCTCCAAAGAATGGGGAAAGTGTCACACTATCTGTCATGCCCAAACAGTAAAACCCACTTAGGGAAAGAATGTAGAGGAGTTCTTTCATTCATTCAACAAATGTGTACTCAGTGCCTTGGGCACTGTGGTAAGCAGTAGGGTTATAACAATGGATGAGACAGAGACAGTCCCTGTGCTCATGGATCTGACATTCTTGGTGTGGGGGAAGGGTACTAAGAAGTGGGAAAATACATAAGTAATACTAGATAATCATTTATAACATGGAGAAGGAAATAAAACTGTGCAATGTGGTAGTCACCCAGTAACTGGTGTATCAGTCTATTTTCTGTTGCAATAATAAAATACATGAGGCTGGATGACTTAAAAAAGAAAAGAGGTTTACTTAGCTCACAGTTCTGCAGGTTCAAGGGCATGGCATGACTTAGCTATGGTGAGGACCTCATGGCAAAGGGCATCACAATAGTGGTAGTTTGTGCACAAGACACAGATTGTACCTCCCAACAGGAAGCCAGAGCAAAAGAAGTCTGGGTCTTTGGCTTTTTGACAGACAACTCATTTGACAGAACTGGTACAGGGTCCCATGAGAACTAAGTACCTTCACCCTTGTGAGGCAGCACTCACAATAGCCTCCCACTAGGCCTCACCCTTAAGGACCAGTAGTATGTGAACCTCGGGACTACAAGCCACATGCAAACCACAGCCTGGGGCTAGAGGTAAAGAGGACCACCTTGCGCCAGGTGGTCAAGCACCATTTATGCCAAGTCAGTTTATTATTTTTTCCACACAAGAGGGAAACTAAGAACCACTAGCACAGAGAGCAGAGGCTTGGCTGAACTTCCAGGAACAGGTTCTCGAGCATTTCCGTGTCTGAGTGCCGAGACGCTGCTGCGCAGGTGGCAGAACCTGGTCTGAAACCCGCTTGACACAGCAACCCGTTGGGGAGGTCACAGGGGAAGTGCCATAGAACTCCACCAAGGATCACTGATATTTACTCAGAGTCTGGCAGCCCTGTTGCCTTCTGGGCCTGAAAATAGGAGGGATATGCAGTGTTTAAGCAAATGGACCACAGCCTGGATCCCTTCTGCAACTCTTCCTGAGGATTCAGGGGCCAAAAACTATGTCCTGACCATACAATGAACAGATTGTTCTTTTGTCCAGAAAAGCAAAGCCATGTGCCATTGTCACTGAGCAAGAGACAGCCACGCCCCCTCCCCCACAAAGGGGACCAAGAAGTTTTGAAGCTCTTTCCCCTTCTTTGGAGATCAATCACCAGCTTTTTTGCAACAGAGATGTAGGCTGATGGGAAAATGCCAGGCCCACCTCTTATATATCGATCCTCAAATAAGTTCAGAGGACTGTGGATTAGATGCCCGGACTGGAACCAGCTGAAGTAATTGGGAGATCAGACGCTTGCTTTTACCTGCTGTTTGAAGCAGCTTTCCTTTGGGGGCTTTCCTTTTCAATGCATTTCTGATTCGGCCCAGGATTTTAGAATAATGGTAGCTTATGGATGCTTAGAAAGATAGGGCAAGAAAAACAAAAGATTGAAATTGTGCTTTTAGCTTTCAAAGGTGAGCGACTTTTTGGTCGGGCCTGTTTCAAAATGCTTTTAGCCTCTTTTAGCCTAAATCACTGTTTGTTCTTCCTATTCTTGTCTGGTTTTTGTTGTGTGTGTGTTAACATGAAAGCTGTATGCCTTCTCTTCTAAGGTCGAGCCTGCCCAGACTATGCCGGCAAAACTCACCCTCACATATTGCCTGCCCAGATCTTCTGTCCTTTGACCATCATGTGGCTTCAAGAGCCTTATCATTCTTTGGATACTGAGGGTAGGGATGAATGTTTGCCCCTCATGAGACTGCAATGATCCTCCCAGTGGTGCATAAAATTCTACCTGAAGTGTGATGTTGTCAGAGTAGGTCTCCTCTAGCATCTGTAGGCCCGAGGGCAAGGATACAAATGGCACCCCACATACCCTACGACTAGACATTTACAAGTTAAAATCAGTCAGGCATGGTGGCATGCCCCTGTCATTTCAGCAACTCAGGGAGCTGAGGCAGGAAGATGGCAAGCTCAAGAACAGCTTGGGTAACTTACCAAGACCCTGTCTCAAAATTTGCACAATGAATCTAAAACAAGACTAGGGATGCAGTGCAGTGATTGAACACTTTTCTCACATGCATGAGGCCCTGGATTCGATTTTCTGTATGAAAAATAAGAAAAGGTTGTAATCAAGATATATCCGGGACCCTAGAGCTTGTTCTCTCTTGACTAGGAGGTTAAAGGAGCCATGCTGTCCCCTCGCTGTCTGCTGATAGCCTGAATAGCAGTAAGGATGTACAGGGACAGGGAGGGCAGGAGCGGGGGAGCAGGGAGCTAGGGCTGCAGAGATGATTGGGCTTTGCAGACTTGGGGTGCAAACTGACTTGGGCAAGCTCCCCAGGACCTATGGGTAGTTTTCTCTCTACTGACTCACGATTCCCTATCCACAAACTGTACCAGCCAAGAAAAAGTGGGGGAAAAGCACAGTCACCGGGGAAGAGCTGCCTGGGTAGCTTGGGGCAGCCAGCTTTCACACGAGCACCCATGTTTCCTCCCATTCCCAAGAAGGGCCTTTGATGGCCTTTGGTTCCCACCCACATGCCCTTGGTCCTGCATCCTTTGGCCTGGGAAACCCCATGCAGCTTTCCCAGCTCCGGAATGCTTATTTGCTCAGATATGTGCCAAATATTCAAAATAATTCCTTATAAAACCAAGACAAATAAAGTCCTTGTGTTTTGGTGACTTGGGTAGGTGGATTCCTCTACTGCATGAGCCCTGGAGAGCAGTTCCTCTTACCCAGTGCTAAGAGGCTACAGCAGGGCTGTACACTGGATTGGCTGTGGGGCTGGCCACAGCTTGCCAGGTAAGGCAGACACCAGAGGATGGTGCCTAGCTGGTCACAGTATTTTGATTTTCCATTGAGAATGCACCGACTTCCCCGAGAGTCTGTCTGGAGAACCCAGCCTCTCCAGGCCTTCACGGGGACCAACCACTCACAGATCCCCTCTGGCAGCATGAATAGCAGAGCAGAACAGAGCTGGAGATACTCCACCCTGGGGGTCACCTAGAGCATCTGTCCCTGGATGCCGGGGCCTCTCTGGCCACCTGTTCGTTGGCTTTGCCTCCACACTGTGAGTGACGGCATATACTTCAGTACACGCCGTCCTATTAAGTCAGCCAGAGTTGGTTTCTATTGCTTGCATCCCAACCCTAACAGACCCATTAATCATGCAGCCTTCACGACACAAAGGAAAGGGCTGGCCTCCATTTACTCCAACACCCGAGCAAGAGATTGAATTTGAAAGGAGATTAGTTTGCTTTTTGACCATGTCACTTGCCTGCCAAAAACCACCAATGGGTCCCCCACGCATCTTCCACAGCCCCTGCACCACCAACAACAACCGGGCCCCTTCTCCCTCCATACACGAAAATCAGAATGTGCCTTAACTCTGTTCTCAATACTCGGATTATTTCCTCTTCTGGAAACCCTGCTCTTTTAACTATAGTCTATTGGATGACCTTTGGGTGGATCCAACTGTCACTGACTTTTAAGTACTTCTGGGGCTGGTGTGGGCTCAAGGGTAGAGTGCTCACCTGGCTTGCATGAGGTCCCGCCTTTTACCCCCAGCACTGCAAAATAAACAAAAAATCCTTCTGCATGGATGGTGTGATTTAGGAACTTTTAACTCTAAAAGTAGTGGTTCCAGAGGGTGTCAACTAAACTATCAGAAACATCACCTTCCAGAACTGATGGGAAAGGGAAGGCACTGGTTTGTAACACCTCTTCTGTGTGTATACCTAATGTCCACTCTGAACAAAAGGAATGGAGGGTATAGTGAGGCACGTCTGTAATCCATCCCAGGTGTCTGAGAACCTGAGGTAGGAGGATTGCACGTTCAAACCAGCCAGGGCGACTTAGCCAGACCCGATCTTAAGATAAAAAAGGGATGCAGCTGTTGTCCAGTGCAAAGGTCCTGGTTTCAATTCCCAGTAGTATATATATCTATATTTTTTTAAAAGACAAAGGGAGAACATACCTTAAGCTCAAATTCTACTGGCAACAGAGCTCATTATTTATATTTTATTTTTTATTATAACTATTGTTACTGTTACTTTCTAGTTACGGAAAAGAGTGTTCAGAGGGCCCTCACCTGACTGAAATCTGGGGAAATACTGCTACCCAGCTATTTGGGAACGACCGCATTACAGCTCTCTGATCAGGACATTTGCTTCTATAGGACAGCAAGAATGCTTTATATGCATCGCCACAAGCCCTGCACAGCTGGTCCTCTGGCTGATATATGGTAGGCAAGCAGGAGTTCGACATAAAATGGTTGAATTAATAAATAAAAGATCATTAGTTCAGATGGCAGTAATTTGGATTTTATGGTGAAACTTCAGGCAACCGAAATAACAACAGTGTAAAGTTGGATTTGCCTGAGAGAACGCGTCTTTATCCATATGTAATTCCCTTATCAAACGCTGGCTTCCAACCACATCCAATCTATTCATGGAAATAGACTTGGCTGGACACCTAATTGCTCATCCTGAGCTACCCAGTAACTGGGCTCACTGTATGTGTCTGCTAAAGGTCACCTCATTGGATTTGCCTTCCCTGAACTCGACTCCAAGCCCAAACTCTATTAAATTTCTTTGCCTGGTGATGCCCTAGCTCCCTGAACCGTTCCTCTGCAGCACTGATCAGTTTTTGATTATTATACTGATTTGACAATCATTTGACTACTGCTTCCCTTTCATACTAGTCTCTAAGCTTCCCAAGCAGAGAGGCTGTGTCTACTTTGTTTATGCCTGATTTCCAGATCCCAGCCTTAGGCTATTACTTAGTAGGTGCTCAATAAGTATCTGCTAGAGTACCAAACAAATGACTTGCATATGTAATTTATTTTAAACAATTAGCCAGTTCAGCTCTTCACAGTCATTCAGATTGGCCTTGCCTTCAATTTGCTGGAGGCAACAAGGTTTTGAACCATCCATCAGACAAAGCCCTAACATAGCCATTTAGAAAATTCCATTTAGAAACTGAAAATGCGCATCTGCACAACCTAGAGCTTTGGAGGATGGGTGACTGATTACTGGGGGCCTTTGGATAAAGTATAAAGTAGCTGAAGAGAGCTGGGTGTCGTGGCACACACCCGTAATCTCAGCATTCAGGAGGCTGAGGCAGGAAGATTGTTGTGAGTTCGAGGCCAGCCTGGGCTACAAAGTGAGTTCAAGAGCAGCCTTAACTGCACAGCAAGACCCTGTATCAAAAAGACAAACATTAAAATAAAATAAAATAGCTGAAAGACAGACTCTTTGGGGCACCAGCAACAATGATGACCATTTTGCTCTTGGGTCTATCCAGTTCCTTGTGTCAAACTCAAAAACACAGTGTTTAACCCCAGTTGATCCAGTTCCCACGGTTCAGGGATGATCTCCCATCACCCCACTCTTCGGTGGCTAATATCCTTAGTACTCACTCTGATTCTTCTTTTCCCTACTGCTGCTCTTCAGGAAGCCCCAAGACACCCATCATCATAGTCATTGTGTTGGGATTTCCAAAACCAAACTACCCATGAAACTACCCAGAATTCCCCCTGCCTCTAAGAGTGAGATACCTCACCTTCCCAAGGTACATGTTCCACACTGTGTTTACAAAGCTTCCTGAGGAATAAGGGCCTTTTTCTGAGGAATTCCATCTCCACACAGATCACTATGGGAATTCCAGAATACAGCGGCACATTCTTGTCTCCCATCCAGTCTATGTGGTAATAGCTGACCGGCCATCTACCCGCTTCCCAGTTAGGCCAAACAGCCTCATCTCTCATTTCCTGTCCTCAAATCCCACAGCCGCTCCCCACTCTGTGTTAATGTCTTATTTCTAAAAGACAAATCATGTTCGGTCTCCTCCTCTATACCTTTCTGTCTACTCATCCGTTTTGACAAACATTTGGTAGGTACCTGCTCTGTGCCATGTTCAGGCTGACAGAGAATACTGTGAGAAATGAGGTGGGCCAGTTCCCGCCACTGTGGAGCTGGTTTTTGCTGCTGAGGAAGATGCGTGTGAATAGGAGTCCAAGCTCCCTGACGTCTGCAGTCCAAAGCTTCCTGAGGAGACATTCGATGCCCTCCAGGATGTGGGCCTGCTGGCCTCTTTTTGAGCCTTTTCTCACGTATTGTTCTAGAACCTTCTCCATAGGGTTCAGTGTCATGCTTATTTTGAGCTACTTGCAGTCATTCAGGCAAACCATGTTCTCTTTAGCTGCTTGGTCTTTGCTCCCTTTGTGCATCTCTCTCTTCCTCTTGTCTTTCTCTGGGAATCTCCTATTCCTTCTTCAGGACTTAGCTTAGAGGTCCCTCCTCTCCACAAAGTCCTCCTCCACATACTTCCTCCGCACACTCCTTTTTCATTCCCTTCCCCAGTGGGTGGAGGGGTCTCTCCTCTGCCTACACAGTACCCCTCGGCCATCATCACCCCCACATACAACCATGGGCTTACTCAGTGAAACACTCCCACAATGCTGGCAAGCAGCATGGTTAATCTCATATCCCAACCCGGTGCTGCCTGCTTGGCCCAACTACATTTCTAGAATTTCCTCTGAGAGAAAAGTGTGTACATTTTGAGAAGTTTGCTGACTCGTCAAAGTTCACACCACTGGTGTCAAGTAGAGACAGGCTCTGAACCCACATCTCCTGTCTCTAAATTCTGCGCTCTACTGGCACCTATTAAACAGCAAGATCAAAAGATCACATTTAGAAACACGAGATAAAGATTTGGACAACGTATGTTGGAAGACAAAACACCTTAGTTTACCCAAAACAGTCTTGTCTCATGTCTCTTACCGTAGTGTCACCTTTACCAACACCGTCATGGTTTGTGTCTTGGAATCTCTTCCAAGCCTCATGCAGTCATGGGGGACGGGCTTTCAGAAGTGGCTGAATCTAGAGCTTGTGGTTGATTCATGGTCCAGGGCTAGGATTAAGACTTGAGTGCATACACTACAACGGACAGAAAGAGGCTTGTCCTTTCTTTGCTGGTTGCTTTTGCTGTCTTCCACTGCCATGAATGGTTGCCCCTCTGCCATGTGCCGCTCTGCCTTGGAGCCAGCGGATTATGGATTGAAACCTCTACAGGTTGTGAGCTGAGTAAGCCTTTCCTTCCTTAACTTGTGAGTGCTGGGTATTTTGTCTCAGCAATGAGAAAAGTGGCTAAGGCAAACACCTGACTGCACTTCCAGAAGGGTCCCACTTGGGATACAAACTTACACAGCTGCTAATATATATGGGTTTAGGGCACGGTCTGCGTCACACTCAGAGGTTATCCCAGGGGCATGTGCTGGACCTCTCTGAAGGTCATTGTCACAGATGCAGGATGTAGCTCTATGTGAGCTGGGACCACAAACTAGTAGGAGCCTTTGATACAACTGAGACGTGCGATGGTGTCTTGAGTCCTGTGTAATGAAGGCCCCTGGGGTGATTGCTTAAGGCAAATGCACACCCTGGAAAGCTTGCATGAGGATTTCCAGGGAGCTGTGGGAGAGAAGCCGGACATTGAAAGTGGCTCTAATGGCAGAAGAAGAATCTGCTTCTCCAAATAATACCAAGAAGCCCTAGAGATGGTACCAGGTACTTGGCAGATGTCATTGCTTAGGAAAAGCCAAGAATGAAATTAAATCAAGCAGAAATGGTCCTCTCCAGTCAAGGGCAGGGAGGTTTTCCAATGAGTAGATGGGCTGGGTCCTACAGGAGAGACATCAGGGGAGCCATCAGTAGAGACGTAACGTGAGAGAAACTCCCACTTGATCCTCAGGTCTTTGGAGATGACTCCTGGCCATCACACGGTCCCCCACCAGCCAACCACTGCTAGGCTCTTGTCTTCTGCCCCAGGCTGCCTGGGGACATGAGGAGAAAGGACACTGTCCCTGCCCTCCGGGACATTCAGAGGGGAATGTCCACAAAATCTTGAATTAAACTTTGATCTGAGTAAGAAAATTCTAATGACATGATCCTTAATGGCATCTTTATATTACAAAGTCAGTGGGCAAATGGATAAAGGAAATGTGGTGGGTTGGTGCTGTGGAATACTATTCCGCCATAAAAAAGAAGGAAATCCTGTTGTTTGGACATGGAAGAGCCTGTTAAGTGAAATGAGCCAGGCACAAAAAAAGAAATGTGAGGTAGCCTCAGTCATATATGAAATCTAAAAAAGTTTGGGGCTGGGGATATAGCTCAGTGGTGTAAGCGCCTGCCTGGCAAGCGTGAGGTCATGAGTTCAATTTCTGACACCAAAAAAAAAAAAATTTAAAGAGCTGACCTCAGAAAAATAGGCAGCAGAATGGTGGTTACTGGGGACTGGGCTCATAAGAGGGGACACAAGGCCAGGAAGAGGTTGGTCAAAGGATACATCCTAACCAATTCCAGTTAAACTGGAAAAGTAATTCACGAGTCTATTGTATAGTATAGTGATTACCACCTGTGAAAACAGGCTGCATTCTTGGAAGATACTAAGGCAATGGATGCTAAGTATTCCCGCCACAAAAATGATAGCAATATTAGGTAACGTGATCGTTAATTAACTAGAATTAACCATCCCACACTGTGTATATCCTCCAAAACATCACATCGCACACAGTAAGTACATAAAATTTCGTATGTCAATTTAAACAATGAATAAACTAAAATTCAGGGAGAGAGCCAGGCATGGTGGCACACATCTTTAATCCTAGAATTCAGGAGGCTGAGGCAGGAGGATAGCCATGAGTTTGAGGCCAGCCTGAACTACATAGTGAGACTTTGTCTCAAAAAAATAATAAAAACAAAAACCAGGGAAAATATATCATAGGAAATTATTCTAGAGTCAGTGGAAGCCTCAGACTTTCTGACCATTGCTGCCAGTGGAAAACATGAAATCGTAACTCCCGGGAGAACTACCTGGCCATCCTAACCAATTCTCTAGCTGGTAGAGAAAAGGCAGAGTGTTTAAAAGATGAAAAAACCTTACCCACCAAATGTGTGTAGAATAAGAATGTGAGAACTTGCTTTCAGAACTGGTTCTGCCTCCTCCAAACCAAACAGGAAAGCCAGAAAGAGTCCAGAATGCTGTGACCCAACAAGGGATTTACACTGTGTCACAAGATGCTGCCCAGAGACGGACCACCATTGAGGCATTCTGTCCCTAAAGAATCACACTATACAGTGTTTAGCAGCTCCTGGATCAAACTCCTCCTGAGTTCCTCATATTGTGCACAGAAAATGATAGGAGAACTGTAGGGTCTTAGAAGATCCATACTAGATGATAGTTCTAATTTAACCATAAAATCTCTCTCCCTCCTTGTTCTAAATTTCCAGATAGTTAAAGAGATCACAATTTCCATCCTTCCTTCTTCCCAAAGCAGTCATTTGAGGTAGCACTGCAGGAACAATTCTAGCTCATTGTTTGCTGTTACCTATACCAGGCTTCGTTTAGCTTTTTGACTATTTCAAAACTTTTCTGACCCCAGGGCCTTTTCACATGCGTATCCCTTATGTTCCTACCTCTCATGGAATACTGGCTCCTTTTCATGAAGAGTGATAGAAATCTCCTTCAGAGAGGCCTTTCCTGACTATTTTATCTAAACTACTCCCACCTCCCCTTCTGCTATTTATTTCATCCTGGCCATTTCTTTCTTCTTTTTTCTTTTTGAGACAGGGTCTCAATATGCAGGCTAGTCTTGAACTCACTTTATAGCCCAGGCTGGCCTCGAACTTGCAACTACCCTCCCGCCTCAGCCTCCGGAGTGCTGGGATTTCATCTAGGACCTTTCTTCTCAGCACTTATTCCAAAAGCTTTGTTGTGTGCAGTGATGCCCTGCAGACCCTAAATAGTCCTAGAACGGTAAAATGCATGCATTTCCTTGACTTGAATCCATCCCCTCCCCCATACAATCATGTCAGTTGGATGACACCTCCCTTACTGAGGATGGAAAGGAGCAAGGGGCCAGGGCAACTTGCTTCCCGAAGAGCTGTCCCGTGGCTGGGTGTCGCTGGGGAAGATTAGCCCAATATTTTTCTTCTCACTTCTTCACACAAGTTCCCTTGCCCTCTCCCACTGCCTGGGAAAAGGCGCATTAGTGCGAACAGAACGGAAGTCGCTGTGCGCCTCCCCTGCTTCATCGGTACAAATTGCCCAAGTCCTTAGTGGATTCAGAGGGAAGGCTAAAAGGCTGGAGAAATTCAGAAGGGCTCTGCCAGACTAAGGGAGCATCCCCTGGGAAGGGGGAAGGAAGGAGTCACCACAGAGTCCTGGGAGCCTCGCGGCCCAGGGCATGGTGGGAAAGGAAGGGGAAGGGCCAAGGCACAGGTGGGGCATATAGAGAGGATGAGCTCTGTCGGGGACAGGCGCCCAGCCATGGCAGCAGCATGGGGCTGGGCCAGGCACAGGACACAGATGGTGGGTGGCTAGCAGGCGGATGTATAAGTGGAGACAGAACTGGGTGAGCAGTCGCCCAGCAGGATGCCGTGGTTGTGCTCCAGGCACAAAACTGCAAAAGGCCCTGCAAGTCTGAGGGCAGCCAGAGGCCTGGAGGGTTCAGATACAGTCCCTGAAGAGAACGAGTCACTGCACTGCAATGGATGACCTGCTCCAAAGGGATGAATTAATTTTTTTTTGTTTTTGGTTTTTCTCTGGTACCGGGAACCGAACTCAAGACCTTGCGCTT